CAATCCCTTGATACAACAGATAGGAGTGATGATAAGAGCATGCACTCCTATCTATCTTGCTGGGGGCTCCAGTCTATTGGTGGGGAGCATCACCTGCTGGAAAGCGGGTCCAGCGTCCCTTGAGATACAATTATAAGTTGATACAACAACACATGCTGGGAACCGGGCCCAACATTAATATATAACATTCATACCCTCATTCAATCATAACGATACCATGACCTGGGGACTAAACAAGGATGGTTTGGAGGAAAGAGATCCGGGAAGTCTGTCAAAGGTCTCAAGGGAATTGAAGGATCAACAAAAATTCAATCTTTAAAAACCAAGAGATAATTCCTTTGCAGCTTCGCTTGAATGTCTTCGTCATCTTGGCCATTGCGATCAGCTGTTTGTCCTCCCTCCCATTCTACCTCCCCTATTCTGCCTCCCTGGATCCCCCCAAGCCAGCTTTGATTGAATTGTTGAATGTGCTGTAAGATTTCATTTTTGGTTGAAAGATGTAATATTTTGTTTTTGACTTGATCCCAATTACAAGTAATTGTTGTTTGTATATGCTGTTTAATAGAATCAATAAATTTTGGGTCATCCAACAGCGCTCCCTCCAGTTCATTGGTACATCTTCTCATCCATATTACCCACATAATGACCCTTCTTCCTACTACAAAAAGGTTTCGGGTGAAATCATCCAGCTGGTCTGGGTTCCAAGATTCAAGTAGGAGTGCCTTCCATTCCCATGGCCGTGGTTGCGCTATTTCTAGAAGATTCCAAATTTTATCCCACCATCGCCATAACCAAACAGCACCCGGACATTGAAGAAAAATATGCTCAATAGTTTCAGGGATGAGTTTGCATGGGAATGCAGTTTTACAAAACTTACACCATGACAATGCTAGACCTCTCTGTTCTAGTGTGGTCTATCTATGATCCAATCATTCGTTGGTAGGTAGCGATGGACACTTTGCCATTGTAAGGATGCCACTTTAGCTTGTTTGATTCTAATGGACTGGAACCATTTGACTGAGCGCAAAACATCCCTGTTCACATTTAAATGCTTCATCCATCTGGCCTCAATCCTATTCTTAGTATTGACCTTTGGTCGAAGCATCCCATAAGAAGATTTAACCTTCATTGTGTGAAGGGATATAGAATAGGATCTTCCTCTCGCTCCTCTCCCTCTTGTAGATGACCAGATCCAAGTTGTTGAGTCTATAGGCAATTTATCTATGGGTGCTCCTGGTTTGAACGTAAGTCATTTCTCTTTGATTTGAAATATTTGGTCTGCCCTAACTCACTTAATATCCTCTTGGTGTCTCTGTCGGGCAAAACCTTTTGGATTCAAGTCAAAAATAGATAGAAGAATCTGAAATATATATATATATTTTTTTAAATCCGGACCCAATCGAGTGAAATTTTATCTATCACTTGTTCTAAGGCTTCATTCGGCTGGTGACAGTAACCAGGGTTGTCGACCCCCGGGCCCGGGGCCCCGGCGGGGGTCCCGGGGATCGGGGGTCGGCAGACTCGGCACCCCTGACCCCGACTTAAAAAAAAAAAAAAAAAAACGAAAAAACAATCGAAAAAAAAAAAAAATACTAGGGGGTGCGCACCGCCGCCGGGCATCCCCTGGCGATTTCTGGATTTTCCAGAAACAGGGGTTCCTCCCCCCCCTTCCCCGGGGTGGCGGTCACCAGTGGCGAGGGTTGGGTGTTGGGGGGGGCGGGGGTCGCCCGGG